CAGGAGGACAGGAGGACAGGAGGACAGGAGGACAGGAGGACAGGAGGACAGGAGGACAGGAGGACAGGAGGACGGAGACCTGTAAAATGAAGTTAGCAACACGATAAAACAGACGGAGGTCGAAACACACCACCAAAAGCACGAGTGTGCTTCCGAACATTCAGTGTTCGAGTCATCCGTTTTCGTGGGGTGGCGCCTAAGATGTTGAATGGACGTGGACGCTCACGGGCCGCGGCCGCAAGCAATGTTTTATGATTTCATCGTCAGTACCTCTCATAAGAGAGCGGATTGTGGTAGCAAACTTTTATGGGAACTGGAGTTTCGGCCAGGCAACATCGCACTACCAGTCCAACTCAGGAAACTGTAACTGTTGTCATCAATCGTTTATATGGTCCACAAGATTATTTGTGCCTCGGCTGTCGCGTCGCGATATGACGCGTCGCGTCTCCCATATGACACCATTGACATTCTGCAGTCAGCCATACCACAATATCCGGACTTCAATGAAACAAAGATCCACGAACAACCACCACGATGCCTCTTACACTCGATCTCTATGCGATCGGAACATCTCCAGTTGGAATGGTGGAATTGGAAAACAGCAGAGCATAAGTGACGAGCAATACGTGCCGGTAAATCAAGAGAAGGGGAATTCTGTCGAAAACTGTCGAGCATGGACGACTGGTTTGGGCCGGGAGAGTGTCCTGCTGTACACCATTTATAGGGGAGGCGGCTGGTTTCCTCCTGGCGGTCGACCATTGCCGTGTGAACAGACGGCGTCCTCAGGGTCTGGCTTCAATGTTTCAAGAGAACGCGGTTGAGCTCAAAATCTGCGTGGATATTACCTGGTATGATCAGGTGCTTACAGCTGCCGTATAGCTTCTGGCGAGAGTATTACCACCAGCTACCTCATGAACATTGATTTGACGTCCGTCTGAAACCTTCCTCAATAGTGGATAGCAGCATAGAAGGACAGGAGGACGTTGGTTGGGCGCCCGTCTGAAACCTTCCTCAGGGGAAGAAAGCAATCGGGCGCCGGACAGTCGCATGCCTGCTCGGCTACTCCTATACTGTGTTAATCTCTCCCCATGAACTTGAACCTCACCTTATTTCAAACGTGAAGAGGCCGTCAGACTGTAACGGATCCAACAACCCGCAGGGGATCAGCGGGATCGTCTGGGTGTTCTTTTCGTTTTTTCATGACCCAACGAACCTGGTGACCGCCAAGGTCAACCGTTCGTGGTTGGGCATCCGGGTTGTATCTGCGACCATTCTTCGGAATGGTCCCATTGACCTTTGATCCGTACCCCGTGCCAACGCCTGGAGCATACCTCGCCCAGACACAAAGTCGGTCAGTTCCCGCGCAGTAATCGCAATCCTCGCGAATCATTGCAGGGCCGCCAGGGCCCGCTTTAACCTTCCTTAGACGCGCAAACAAGCAGCGTGGAGGGTCGGAAAAGGTCAGTCCCGAAAGATCATCAATACAATATTTGTCAATGTTTTGGATCGCCATGGCCAAGTCTTGACCATTCTTGAACAATTGCGCCATAGAGCTAAGAATCGAGGCTTCTTCCTCGGGCGTCGCATCCCAGGCGACGTAAAACATCGAACGCAGCTGCCGGGCCTTGGCTCTCGGTTTCAGTTGCTGGCTGTTCGGGGGTTGGACTCTCAGATGAATCCCGAGCGTTGTTGCTCGGTGGGGAGGGGCTATCAGATATGCGGATTATGGAACGGCGTCGTTCCACCGCATTACCCGAGAACCTCGAGCGTTTGTTCGACAAACGGGAGTTCCCCAACTCGGGAGAGAGTGATTCTTGCACACGCCGCCGTTTGGCACGAGATGAGTCGCGTGGCTCCTCTACAGAACTGTCCCCGACGGGGGAGTTATGAGTGGGTTCTCGCTGTGTGGGAGACCCGGTTTGGGAGTTTCTTCGCCGCCGCCGCGAGGCCTCGGCTGACCAGGATGACGGGCCCGGTCGGGATGCTAACGCATCGTTCAATCTGACTTGAAACAACTCCTCGAGCTTCTTGACTTGTTCTGCGTGCTCTGCAGAAAGATGCTGCCTCTGTTCTTCCATCTTGGCTTTGTGCAAGGTTTGGAACTTGTCCTGCAACGACTGTTTAAGATGAATGAGTTTGTCTTCAGACTCCTTCTGCATCGCCTCTCGCTGAAATTTGAGTCTGCCTTCCAACTCCTTCTGCGACGACTGTAGTTGGGAATTGAGTCTATCTTGCCAGTCGGTCTGCAGCGCCTGCTGTTTGGCTTCCGACTCATTCTGTAACGACTGTTTCTCAGAATTGAGTTTGCCTTCCCATTCATTCTGCAAAGACTGTTCCCGAGAACGCAGTTTGCCATCCAACTCTTTCTCAAGCTTTGTCTTCTGGGCTTGAAGTTTGATGTCATGTATCTTTGTAATCGAGGACAGGGCGACCTGCATGCTTTGGAGAAGCTGTTTCAAGCCCTCGGCTCGACCATTTTCATGGCTCTCTTCAGCTTCACGCGCGGAACGCTTTTCCCACTGTGATGTGAGTGCAGCAACGGCCTTCTTGTGGTCGTCTTCTTTGACTGTGAGGGCCTGGAGGTGGTTTTGAGCCATAATGGCTTTCACCTGTTTCCGTGAGTCTCTCATTTCTGTCAGCTTGGCTTCAAGTTCGATCTTGACTTCTTCATGGATATCATGCTGTTCGGCCAGCGCTACTGCGTGGTCCCTTAACATTTGTTGTTCAGAGTCACGGCTTTCCTGGAGCCTTGCCCCAAGCGCGGCAATATTCCGGTTGTGCTCGTGTTCCAATTCTCGCCTCAGCTGCTCCCTTGCGGCTTCGTTGGCAATCTTCTGTTGGTGGAGACGGAAGTTCACAGTACGCTGTGTCCTTCCCACCCCAGCATCCTTTTCCACTCGCAAGAGTTCTTGAAGATCCTCGACCCGCTCTCTCAACGTGGTCTTGTGCTCTTCATGCTCTTGTCTTTGCTGCTCGTACTCTTGTCTCTGCTGTTGGGTCAGCCTCTCGTGCTGTTCTTTCTGCTGCTTGGTCACTTGTTCGTTGGACGTCAGCTGGTTTTGGAGCGTGGCAATCGAGTGTTGTAAGCCTTTCAACTCTCCGCGCACAGCCGCCACCGTTTGGCTCTGCTCCGAGTAACGCTCAGTCAATGCCTGGTAGTCGCGTTTTTGGTTGGCCAGTTCCTGCTGGAACTTGATGACCTCTGACGCTGCCTTATCCTTCAAGCTCTGAAGTTCCGAAGCCAGATGGCTCCGGGTGGCGGTCGACTGGGCAATTTCATCTTTGGCATTTGCCAGTTGGCCTTCCACAATCGTCAACCCGGCAGCGGATTGCTCTGCAGCTTTTTGGGCATTGTCTTCGGACTTTGCCAGCTGTTCAATCTCGGACTTCATGCGTCCGAGTTCTTCTGTGAGCTCGTGGTGTTTGGTTTGCGCTTCAGATAAACGAATCTTCAGCTCATCCAACAATCTCAATGCCGCCGACATGTTTGACTTTGCGTTAGTGAGTTCACTGATATACAGCTCCCTCGGTCCCAAGGCAAGGACGTAGTCATGCTGTGGGGAGTCTGTGAAAGCTTGTATCTCCGAGATGAAAGCCTGTAGTGTTTCGATTGACTTTTCTAAGCCATTCACTGTCTCTGTATCGGTGATAGGTGTTGCGTTCTCCGGATCTGCCATACTAGTAATGAAGGAATGTCCTTGCATATAGTTAGTAGGTTGTGGCAAGGAGAGCACTACGGTGGGTGATCGTGAAAAGGGAAGGGGGCGCAGGCGAGGATTTCGGCAAGTTTTAAAATGCGCGCAGGCAGCGCAGGCAGCGCAGTCTGGGAATTTTCTACCTACCAGATACCTACCTAGGTACCTACCTACCTGTATGTCCTACCTACGGCCATCCATCACGCTATGAGCCTATGGCACCCTTCACAAACAGATCCAGCTTGGTCTTGACAGTTAGTCCACAGCCACACCAGCTGGCTCCGAATCAGTATCACTTGGCATGTGTTCATCATAATGAAATTCTTTGGGAACGCTGCTGGTGATGGTAGTTAAGTCAATGCTGGTGTCCCATGGACGATGGAAGGGGGCGTAGTCCAGTGCGTCGAAATTGATTCCCGACTTGTCAACGGCAACCTCCATGTCATGCAGATCCCATCCCACGCGATAGAACACGGGTAGCATTGGAAGACTTTGCGCACGAAACACATGGGCAGGCAAGTAATCCCAGCAGGGATGATAAGTCAAGGGAGCATCGAATTATGGTTGAACTGCGAGTTCTTTTTGAGTTGCAATTTCACGAAGGAGTGGAAATTCCGTTTCCAAGTGTCGGCGAGCTGCACAAACACTAAACTCACAGTTTTGCATGTAGATGTGGTAGAGATCATCTAGTCGTTTACCAACCATGTCCGCCTGAAACCAAGCCACGGCGTCAAACAGCTCGCCCGGGCGGTCACTCAGGTGTTGTGAAAATGCCTCAGAAAGTCTTGTCTTGAAAGAAACGAGTGCTGTCAACACCGAGCAACACACATGAACATACACGTCCTCAAGGTAACTGCAGTATGCCATATATCTCCGCAATGCGTGAGCGAAAAGGCGCTCGACCTTGTCACAATTGAGAAACGTCTCTGTGACGGCGGGTAGAAGGATATCTCGAAGCTTCACGAAGGCGAAGCGCAGTTGTAACCGGAGAGCCGGCCGATGGAGCCTTGCGGTGTAGATAGTGTCCAACTGGTCCACCAATCGTTTCGCTAGCAATATTGCAGGTTTCGTAGGGTCATCTTGACTCAAGTCATCTGCATCGGCTCGAAGATCATTGCAAAGGGTGATCAGCTCCGGCGGCTTGAGGTCCCCAACCGGTAAGAAAGGATTGCGAGGCATTTGCGGTCTGGTTTCGAGCGTAGTACACAAGGATGGCGCAGCGCCGGCCATGGCCTGAGCATCGCATCTTTTTCCATCATCGCAATCGCAGTCTGGCGACATCGTTGGCGTCAGTTGGTGGCTGTATTGCTGGTAAGCAAAGGCAACCTGGATCTGGCAGGGAGAGAAGGAGAAGTGCAGTCCACAGTAACTGCAGGGGCAATAATGAGAAACTCGAAGTGGTACCTAGATACTGTACTTCTCCGTAGTAAGCCCTATTAACTTGAACGCGTAACTTGAATGCGTTTCGCGTTGCACAACTTGAAAAGTCGAGGTCAACAATATTGCTGCCGATCAAACACTCTCTGCAATACTAATTGCCGGTGTCTGTTCATTGCGCAGAATACATTTTCACCAAATCCATCATCACCATGTTCACGTCTCAGTTGGGTCCTGCTTATTCATGCTGGGGAAGATGCGGAAAGCCGGGTTCGGGATGCCGGACACATCGGCACATCTCCACGCCGTCCAACGGCTGGCCAGCCATCATCACCCCACAATGCGGAGGATCTTCCATTACTTCGTTCAAGTTCAAGTTGATGGGCACTCGTTTTCTCCCCGGGCAGCCGTTCACGGCAGAGCCTGGCCGTACGCCTGGGCAGCCGGGAGACATCATCCAATGGCTCGACAGTGTCGACTTTTCTTTGGTCGTTTCTGCAATCTTGAAATGGGTCTATCGTCGTGTTGTCAACATCTGTGACTTTCGTGAAGCCTTCAGTCGATAGAGCGTTTAACGAAAGGCCTATTGTCCTTCGAAACCATGGCTACGACCAAGCATCCTATCGGCCCTTTCAGGAAGAGTGTTCATCCACAAGAGGTAAATGCCGACCAGAATCACTCGGCGGGCAAATTCACTTACAATCGTTACCAGGTCCAGCCTCCCTTCAATCCTGCCCCTGACCTCAAACACGAGACTTTTGAGCTAGATGGAGGGAAAGTGATTTTCGAGAAGGACGTGGCCATCACGATGAGAGACGGGGTCAAGCTCTATGCCGACATCTACCGACCTGCGACTAGCGTGGCAGAGAAAACCCCGCCGTTGGTCTTCTGGTCACCATTTGGTAAACACGGCGCCGTCCCTAGAGCACTGTTCAAGAATATGGGCGTCGATTTTGAGAAATTGAGCCCGTACACGTTCTTTGAGCTGCCCGACCCGTTCCTCTGGTGCAGTCAATACCATTACTCGTTCGTACGTGTGGATCCTCGTGGGACTTGGTGGTCAGAGGGCACAGAAGCGACCTTCTTCTCGCCTCAAGAGGGCCGTGATGGATATGATGTCGTTGAATGGGCGGCGCAGCAGCCATGGTATGTCTCAATTACCCACGTGCACCCAGCGCCAAGCTGATTGTTGACGGTGCAGGTCTACCGGCAATGTCGGCTGGGGCGCTGTCTCCTACTATGCAATGTCTGCGTACCAAACGGCCGTCCTGAAACCGCCACATCTCAAGGCCCTTCTTTTGTGGGAGGCGATGTCTGACATATACCGCGAGGTCAATAACGTCGGCGGCATACCTTCTGTACCATTTCAGCACATGTGGATGAATTTGACCGGACAGGGTCTCGGCATGAGTGAGGACCACGCCGCTGTCTCACTTGAACATCCCCTCTTCGACGAGTTCTGGCAATCCAAAGTTGTACATTGGACACAGATCAACATTCCGGCGCTGTCAGTTACGGGGTGGTCGTCCTCGCCCACTCATCTACGCGGCACGATTGAGGCATGGAAGGCCCTGTCCACAAAGGACAAGTGGCTGTTGGTTCACGTAAGTCTGCAGGATACGTGGGGTGGCCATGGTTGCTGACAACTCTTAGGCTGGTAGAGAGTGGAGTGAGTACTACAAGGATTCGGGCATCGAGAAGCAGAGGGAGTTCTGGGACCACTTTTTGAAAGGAAAGGAAACTTCAATTCGCACTTGGCCGACGGTTCAACTTGATGCCCGCACTTCTGCTGATGTGTCGGTGCGAAGAGACTGGAAGAAATTCCCGCCGCCGGCAAAATTGTCCAATTTTTACCTGGCAAGCGACGGAAAGCTGTCGACAGAGCCTGGCAATGGTCAGGCAGAATATACCACTTTCAGGGCACATGATGCAAATTCGACACTCACATTCGAATATACCTTCGACAAGGAGACCGAAATCACGGGTCACGCGTCCTTGACCCTGCATGTCCAGTGCTTGGAATTCCCGGATGTCGACCTCTTTGTCGCGCTCCAGAAGCTCGGCGCCGACGGCGAAGAAGTCAAATTCTGGAGCTCAAGCCAATTTGTCGAGGCACCAGCGGTGCTGGGCTGGCTCCGTCTTTCACACAGAGAACTGGATCGACAGCGCAGCACACCGGAGCGACCTTATCATACTCACCAAAAACGGCAATGGGTGCGTCCTTGTGACATTGTGGAGGCCCAGATCGAACTTTGGCCCAGCAGCACTGTATGGCAAGCGGGGGAGACGATACGTATCGCCATCAATGGCCGTGGGTTCCTGAATCCGGAGAATAAGACCCAAGTTCGAACACCGGTACACGGTTGGGGCGACGTTCGGGTGTGGTTCGGTGGCAAATATGCAAGCCAACTTCTGGCGCCTGTCGTAGAAAATTAGACGAGCAAAGCACGTATCAACTTTGAGAATAGCACTCTTTTGGTTTTGATTAATTGTAGAGGTGCAGTGGTACCAGTACCATCTATCGGATACCATCGTGTGAAGATGCCACAGGCAGACCCAGCCGTACCTAGGTAAGGCTCCTAAGGGTCCTCAGCCCCAGGTTCACCCCGCGTCTCAAGCGAACGGGGTTTCTCCGCGAGCCTGCCCACCATTTCTGTGTCACCAGCGGTAGCGTTCCGCCCCCAGTTTCATGAAGTCGTTTGGCCTTTCACCTCCGACTGTTTTTCGCTTACTAGTATCGGGAGCTGACTTTCCATTGCATGAATGCTGCTCCTTCGTCGACAGTTGCGAGTCTCGCTTCACGCGGATCGCGAACAATGACATCCAACAACACGGACAACATCTTCATGTGCCTCCTTTGTTCCGAGGGGTTTCGAAACGTGTATTGCTACACTTTTGCTGTCTTGCGCATAATGCTGACGGGGTTCGGCTGACATAAACTCTAGGACAGCTTTGGAAAATCATGTTCGCAAACACCCTCGGGAGACTCAGACTCCGCCCTCCAAGCGGCAACGTATTGGCTCTGCTCGATCTGGACCACGCGCTTCTCAAGCTTGCCATGCGTGCGCAGCGGCTAAGACCAAGTGTGATAATGGTGTTCGCTGCAAACGCTGCATACGAAGGGACATCCCGTGCATACGCCACCATCCCATCTCAGAATGTGATGCTCTGCCCAACACTGCAGACGCTGCCGTCACGACAAACAACTCATCAAGCACGCCTCCTGTCGCCACGGCCGCCAACAACTTCAGTGACGCACCTCAGCCTCAGCCTGAGCCCCAGGCTCACCCTTCTACGCCGCTGGAGATGGCACGCTCGGTTGGCTCTACCGAAGTCGATGCTGCCGCACAGGTATACCAAGGTATCAATTTTCGCCCATGGACTCTTTTGACAGACTCTAAATTTACTGTCCAGATCATGTCTTGCTCGAAACACCGTCGTTTTACGGCCTTCCTTCCATCGATCCGACTCAGGGCGGAATCGATCCAGAAAGATCCACAGTCGACTTGGATTTTTATAATATCTTCGACTTTGATGGCAATCATGACCTTGTCCTGAGTGCACGAGACCAGGAGTTCTTATCGTCGCTCCCGCTCCCATTCCGAGAAGCGCCCCGAGAAGCATCCCTGGGTGCCGGTACATCTCCCGCCAAAACGGTGATAAGTTCAATGGACCAATCGAGTTCGCAAGAGGTCTATGAAGCCTTCAAGCAGTCAATAGGACGCTGGGACCCCGCCAAAACCAATTCCAGGGCCGTAGAACAGCCTTCTCTCTACATGGATCGGATCACCACTTCGAAGATGGATTGCCTTGGGAGCTATGATCCGAATATCATCTCACAAAGCCTGACCCCCAGGATACGAGAGCAGATCTTGAAGCTTCTGATAAAGTCATGCGACCAAGACAACGTGATCGACATGATCTCATCTTTCCCAGCCGTTGAAGTTCTCGATCGGCTATTGAAGTCGTACTTGACGAGACAGGTCACAACCACAGATATCTGGATCCATGTTCCCACGTTCAAGGTGGATGAAGTACGTTTGGAACTACTAGTCGCATGTGTGGCCGCCGCCGCTTGTCTGTCTTCAAGCCGGCCCGTCCAAAAGTTTGGTCTGGCAATGCAGGAGTTCCTGGTCTACCATCTTTGGTTGGTAGTAAGTGCATGACCCAATTACCCGAAGCACCAACAACAATGAGCTGACAGGCGCAGTCTGAAAATTCAGGTGTATTAACACGAGACCTACAGTCGCTACAAGCTTTGTCTTTGCAGCTTGAGATGGGTCTTTGGTCTGGCGTCCGACGAAAAATGGAAATATCCGAAAGCTTCAGCGGCATCGTTACCAATGTGCGCACGTTTTCCCCGCTTGTTCGTCGTATGCTAACTTCTTGCTCATAGGCCTTACGAGCTGGTGGTCATTTCAGATGTGCAAATTACTCGCCCATCACGGTTACAGTCGAGGATGAAGGTGAGATACTGGAAACGAAGTGGAAACAGTGGATCCAGCAGGAATCTTTCAAAAGGTGCGTTCTAGGCAAGTACACCACTTTCATCTGCTGATCCGATCTAACTCAGGCTTGTCTATCACATGAACCTCTACTGCACACGATTGTCACTGGTGACATCTGCGACCTCGACCATGTCCTATGCAGAATTGTCGGTTCCAGTGCCTTTTGCACATGAACTGTGGGTAGCAAAGTCGGCCACCGAATGGAAACAGCTCTATCTGCAGCTGGCAAGAGGCAGTCCGCCTGAGCCAATATCTTTCACGAACTTACTCCCCGATCCGATGACTCTTGGGTCACTGGGCCCGCTATACGATGGCTACTATACCAAGTTCTGTTTACTGCATGCTGTTTCCTCGATGATCGGAAGACACAAGCAGGATCGAAGTATTTTTGCGCCCATTGACAAAAGCGCCACGCGAGTGAGCTCTTTTGCGGATGATGTTCAACATCAGAGAATCGTGCACATCCTTAAGCACATTAAACTGTGCTACGAGGATCTGGAGCTTCGACACACGATTGAGCTGGATCTGCTGTTCCATCTATGCTCGATGCATCTGTACGCGCCTTTTGAGCAGATGGAACTTGCTGCGGGCAAGGAGGGCCCCATCGAAGCACAACGAGCCGATCCAGCACTGCAGCGATGGATCTCCACTGGGGATTCTAGACACGCTGCCTGGCATGCGGGCCAAATACTACGACTTTCTCGGATGTGGACATTCGACCAGTTGAAGCACTACGCGGTTGTGGCCGCCTACCACGCCGGGCTCTGCCTGTGGGTGTATGGCGTATTGTCCGAGCAGGGAAAGTCTGGATACTTGCAGAATCCTACAACCAGCGCAGAGCACTCGGGTTATGTGATGCTGGATCAAGAAGAAAGTATCCAGACTCAGCGATGGATTAGCCATGCCCGTGGGGATCCAGCTATCTCAGGTCGTGCAGGATCTAGAGATGGAGACCAGGACACAAGCATTGTCTCTATTCATTCATCACAGTTGTTGCTCAGCACCCTGCTACAGGAGGTCATGTCCAGGTTCGCCTGGAGGAATAGTCTGTTTGTTGAGAATATTCATCAACTCCTTCAGGCTCTGCAGAAAATCTCACATCGGGCCGACAAAAGCTGAGGTCATGAATAAAATCAGTCTCTACAAAGTGAGTTTCGACAATTTCGAGCGTGTACTCCAGAGCAGTTTGTTTCAGGCCAAAGTGATCGAAGCCATTGTGACAATGATTTGGGCAATTTAGATGCCACATCGCCGCCCTCGACGACTGTTTGCACAGTTACTAGTACTCATTTCCTTGATCTACCACTTCCATTGTCCATTTTTTACAGCCCTGTCGACATTGCTGCCTACTCACCGACCTCACGATCCTCAGCCCAGTGGGCAAGGCGTTTGATGAAGCCCCATTTCCACGACGCGCTCCTCCAGTGACTGCCAAAGTAGTAGAATGGAATAAAACCGAGCAGGATGGCACCTTCGATACCACCCATGGCGCCAAAAGCACCGAGATATCCGTCCTTCGCGACCCAAGGGTTGGTGTAGAATCCCAAGAGGAAACCAAAGCAGGCTGGGCATTGTCGTCAGTGGTGGATGTCTCGGGAGGGAGAAGATGGGGAGCCATACCTTTGAACGTTGACTGTGTGACGATGACCTCACCTGACACAGGGCGGTACGAGTCCAGGATGTACACCAAAGACACGTTCATCGATTGCACAACGGTAAACCCGACTAGGGACAGCCCGTAAGTACAGACAAAAGATAGATTGGTACTGGTAACTTACTCAATCCGATTCCCACGACCGGACACATCCAGTGTAGTTTCAAACCAAAACCAGCGCCATACAGAATTCCGCCCAATGGACCGGTGATGACGCCGACGAAGAGGGCCGGCAGACGCATCTCGGGGATTCGGACGCCCCCGTTCCTCTGTGTGAGCTTGTCCGCAACCCAGTCGGAGAAATGGCCTGCAAAGACAATGGCGATAAGCGAGCCGATAGCCATCGAGATGAATGTCAGACCCGCTTGGAGGACGGTGAAGCCGTAGATGTTTTGGAACGCAGTGGAGAAGTTGGACGACAAGACGATTATCATACCAACGGTGACGGAATTGATCAAGGTGGCCCAGAGGACGCCGGGCAATGCGAGCAAGACGACCGGTCGGAACATGATCAGCCAAATACTCTCCCCAGTATAGACCTTGGGGATGAGAGCAAACCGCTTGAAGTAAGGGGTGCGGCTGGTCCGGCCGCAGGCGCTCGGCGACGGAGGAGGAACTCGTGATACGTGTTCGAACGACTTGTCGGATTTCTCCAAGACTGTGATCGGGATGGGAACCGGGTCGACGACGGTGGCAATGCTGCGGTTGTACGCGGTCTCTGGGACGGTGAAGATCATGAGCAGCAGGCATATAGCGGATAGGCCGGTCAGGATCCAAAAGACGACCTGCCAGGAGGTCCAGTTGATCACAATTCCCAAGATGACGACAGCGAGACTGCTACCGAGCGCGAGGGCGCAATTGTAGATTCTGATGGTGACATTGTGAGCTTTTTTGGGAGCTGGCTCAAACAAGGGAGAAAAGAAGCTTACGCCATGACTCTACCTCGCTGATGGAGGAAGAAGACATCCGTCAGGGTCAAAGGGGCCACGAGCTCAGGAGCCCCAGCAGCGATACCAGTCAACAGCCTGGCTGCGAGCATGCTGCCGTACGACTTGGCACATGCGGCCCAGATGTTGCAAACGGTGAGAAGGGTAAAGCAGATGATATAGACCGGTCGACGGCCGTATTTGATGGCCACGGGAGTCCAAATGAATTGTCCGATGCCGATGGTCAAAGCCGCTCCGGTGAAGAAGTAGGCCACCTTGCTGATGTAGTTGACGAAGTTGGGATCGCTAGGAGGAGCGAAGAAGGAGGTCGCCATGGCCACGGCACCCACGGACGGACCCGCGCCGCAGGCGTTGCACACGGCTATGCTCAAGCAAGAGAAGGCGAAGATGTAGTACTTTTCTCGCAGCGGCCCGTAAGAGAAAAAGATGTCAGTTGAGGCACTTGTGTGTATGTAGAATGGGAAGATTCTTCGCTCACCAGTTCAACGGGTCATCGGGGTCGTCGGATGGCTTTGGAACGAGAAGTAGCTCGTTGGTCGTTACATGGCGCAGGCGGACTGTGCCCAGGGTTTCGACCTGAGGCATGTCTTCATCGTTTGCTTCGACGCCGTTGGGTTCCTCAGACTTCCGCATCGTCGTAGACATAATGGTGTCAGTAGTCTTTGCAAGAATGGAGAGTTTATGAGCTCCAGCAAGGCCACTTGTTGCAGGTCGATGGGGAGATTGAAAACCCTGGAGCGTAAGGTAGGTTGCCCCAGGGGCCGCGCAGCTTTATGTCTGTGGGCCCCCTGTCATATGCTTAGGAGATCCATGTCCCCAGATCCAGAGTCTGGGGATGATTTTGACCTCTTTGGTGTACACCTTGATCTTACTGGTTGCTAGCGTTGCGAGGCTTTCGTATAAGCGAAGCATTGAAACTTTCCCAGCAAGCAGAAGTCTGGCGGATCCGGGCCCTTCGGCAAGCCGAAACCATTTCTACCCGAAGACTGAGGGTAAGTAGACTGCTGGTCGGCTTCCCGACACTTGCGGCCTCTCTTTCCGCACCTTCGGATAATACCCACAATTGTTACCACTTTTTGGCTTAGATGCGGCAGCGACGGAATTGTTGACTTGAGTTCGAAAGATAGACCTTCGAGATGGTTCACTCAGGAAGTCCAAAAGTTGCTTGTTTTGACCAAGCCGCGTTGAGAAGCTGTGATCTTTGCTGACCTCTGGTAATCGCAGCTGATTAGACTACGACAAGGCCATCCAATAACCATGTCTCCGACATACGACGCCTCCAAACCGGTCTTCTGGTTCATCACCGTGGGCAAGCTGGAAGATTGGTCTTTGGAGAAGTTCTACTACGAGTACAATGATGTTCACGCAAAGATGACGGCCGGGGTGGCTGAGCACGTCGAAGCTCTGCGAGATTATACCCAGCTGATGGTCGACTACGACTCAAAGACGGGTAAACCTGTACGAGATGTCGACGACAATGAAGGTTGGCACGGCTTGACCATCCATATCTGGTCCAATCTACAAGATCTACACGAATCATTTGCGGATCCAGGCTACAAGGCCTCGGCAGGCGAGCACGTCTTTTGCAGACAGGATCAGAACGGTTGTTTTGCGGAGCTTTTGGCTGAGGAGGTGTCTCCGGAATATACGCCAGACTCTTCGACCAAGATACGGACCATAATATTCCACCGCAAAGGTCGCAAAGATGATGTTCGAACCTGGCTCTCTCAGCGGCTACAACAAGGGAAGCAGTGGGTCCAAAGCCGGCCGGATGTACTCAGATACCGCCAGTACATTGACTGCACGCCACAGACCATCGACCATTTTTTCGCTGGCACTCAATTTGCTGGAGGGGTTTGGCAACAGTTTTGCGCGGTGGAAGACTTTGTGTTTACAGGGCTAGAAGAAGCTTCGTCGTTTCTCAACGAGGACAGAGAGTGGGTCAATGGAGACGACGCACAAAAGCCGTTGATAATCACAGGCCGAGCTCTGAAGGTGTTTGGAACAGATTAAAAGGCTGGGCTATATACAATCTAGTAGCAATCAATCCACATACAGGCCGCCTGTGACAAAGATATTGGTCCCATTGATCCAACGCGATCTTTCTTCGCACAAAAAAACCACTGCGTGGGCTATTTCCTCTGGGTCTCCCATGCGTGGTCCACACGGTGTTCCATCGATGGTAGGCTGCAGGAGCTCATACTCCTTGGAGCCTCTCTCAGGAAATGCGGGAGTTCGTGTTGCCCCCGGACTCACGGCGTTGACCGTGCATCCGTACTTGGGCGGAAGCTCTTTGGCCCAGCATCTTGTAAAACTTTCCACCATACCCTTGGTTCCAGCATAGATGGTTTGATGTGGTGGAGGTGCTCGAGCGGATATGCTGACAATGTTGACAATTCTTCCACCTCCGCCCGCTTCTTTCTTGGGAAGATAGGGTAAGACCTCCTTGGTTAACAAGAATGTTCCCCTGCCATTCAAGTTGACGAGTTTATCCCAATGTGCCAAGGTGTGTTCTTCAAGAGGCAGGTTCACTGCCGCTCCGGCGTTGTTGACCAGAATGTTGACTCTGCCAAATTTTGCCACAGTCTGCTTAACCAGTTCACCCGGTCCAGTAGTCGTGGAAAGATCAGCCTCGACGGCTATGCATGGCGTCGGTAGTGATTCGACGATGGCTTTGGCGGACGACTCCAGCTGAGGAAATGGATAATTCACGACGACTTGAGCACCCCTGGCCGCGAGCTCTCGCGCAATAGCTTCGCCAATGCCCGAACAACTTCCCGACACGATAGCAACTTTGTCTTGAAGACTAGCTGCTGCTTGATTCCCTGCCGTTGCTTGGAACTGCATCGTTTCCATAATTCTACGATATCGAGAGATAGTCCCAAGAATGCGGACAATAGGGATTGCGGCAAGGCTGATATAACCGAGGGTGCGTGCCGAGGCGAAAGGTCAGGGAAGCCTCGTGAACTGCTTTGTGCGAGAATGATGAAAGCATACCAGAGTCGCTTGTCTCAGTTGCCCTCTCCCAGCAAGTGATAGTTACAATGGATTGGCCTACGGAGTGTGGCTAGTACTTTTCAAGCTGCACTACAAGAAATGTCCCACTCTAGCCCGGGAAGCCGTGTCTGGCATCGGCTACTGGGATACCATTCTCGGGCTTCTCAATAACACGCCCACTCGAATTGTACACCACCGGGTGAAGTGCTCAATGAGCCCATGTTGATATTACGCTATTGACTTGTTACATCTCGAGGAGTCTCAGACCTCAAGAGCGGATAACTCGATCTGATGCACGTATTCTCAATCCACCGCAACAATGAGGGCTTTATGGTACGATGTCTTCAAGCAAGGCAAGACTTTGGCCGACGCGCCTCCAGATGTGCTCGCACAAGAAAGCAACATGGCCTGGAGTACCAATGTGTCAGGCAAAAACACTCGTTTCTTCAATATTATCACCGAGAAAGACGACGTAATTGCAGGCGCAGTGGTGCACTTTACCGACATCAAATCCTACGATGATTTGCTCGAGTTGACTGGCTCTATTCCGTGGATGGAAGCCGACTTTGCAGTTGGAAGACCATTTCTCTATCAGAATTTCGTCTCGGTCGAAAAGCTCTTCCATCAAAATGGGAAATATCTTGGTGTCGAGCCCATAAAACGGATTCAACCCTTCACCACAAGTCCCACCGTCACCTGGTATGTAATCCTTACTGCGAAGACGTCAGAAGGCTTTGACGAGGGGCATGGGGTTGAAAACGCCCTTCAGGCTTTTCGAATGCTGAAAGGTACGTTCTCACCTGCTAGTCGCAGAAACTCATGTACTAAAACCACAGCCAGGTGGTATTGCGGAAGAGGTTTTTGACCTGCTGCCGCCGGATGATGGATTGGTAAGTTGAATCGGCACCACATTGACTAAGGACAGATCCAGTGTTCACACCATTTCAGATACTGCGTATCAAAGCCAATGACCGGGCTGAAGTGGAAGAGTATCTCCACAATTTCCTGTCTGTCAGACACGGCGCTGTAGACGTCCTTGTGCTGAAGACCAAGTCTACATGTGTTTGGGATTTCGCGTTCTTCTGAAAGCCAACAGAAGTAGCGCGGAGAAAGGATTTCATGGTCACTGCTCAAAAGTATTTGGTGTTGGAACCATAGTCTTCATCTGAACTAGCATAATGTTCCGCCGCCAGCTACTGGCACATAAAGGCCATTTAACCATCCTGCACCCTCCTCACACAGTGTGGCCACTGTCCACGCGATCTCTTCAGGCCTGGCCAGTCGAGTTGCCACCGGAGTTGCTTCCATTCGCTTTTTGATAATTGTTTGGAACTCTGCGGGTGCCGCGAGCAATCCCTCGGTACCGACAGGCCCAGGAGCAACAGCATTGACAGTGCAGCCGTATTTGCGTGGAAGGTCTCGCGCCCAGCAACGCGTGAAGCTCTCGATCATCCCCTTGGAGCCGGCGTATATAGTCATGTCAGGGTCCGGATCGCGGGAAGTGGTGCTGCAAATATTGATGATCCTTGAATTGCTGGGGCTGAGATGTTTCAGCGTCGCTCGTGTCAATAGCAGCGTACCACGGCCATTGAGGTTGATGACTTTGTCCCAGATCTGCTCAAATTTTTCATCATCCAGGCTGTCCATGACGGAGTGGGCGTTGATGCCGGCGTTATTGATCAGGATATCAACATGTCCGAACTCACGCGCTGCTGCCGAGGCCAGAGTTTTGGGACCTTGCAATGTAGAGAGATCTGCTTCGACAATGATGGATTTCTGGTTTCCTGGAAGACTCTTCAAGACCTCTTCTGCACTTTTCTTTTCAGACGGATATGGATAGTTGATGACTACACTTGCACCTCGCCTGGATAGTTCTCTTGCAGTCGCGGCTCCAATGCCGGAAGAGGAGCCGCTTACGATCGCGACTTTACCAGCCAGCGTCTGAGCAGCTGGACGTTGTGGTTCTGATGCCATTGTCGAGCTTACTTTTTCAGTGGTGGTGCAATAATCCAAGGTGAAGGTTTTCCTTCTTCGCTAATCTAAGTCTCTGTTGACACGAGGCTCGCAAATCTTGGCCTATGATGGAGGCTTGGAACGGGCCGTCGATTACACCAGACGCTCGTTGTTCCAGATGCTCAACGTGCACAGCCCTTTACCGAACCTTGATTATCCGACATTACCTCTTGCAGCCGCACGGCATCCCGGACCCCGCTTAATTCGCCCCAACTCCCAGTACTCCAGATGACCCTGCCCGCGAAAATCAAGTTGTAGTTTGCGCAATGATTCCGCGTTTGCACCGCGCTTGAGCAAGTCTGCTTTTAGGGCGACCTGAATGACCAGAGTATATCGTCCTTCAACAAGGCAACATTTCAGCAATACCTATACATCCGAAAAGATCCTGTTCTGCCAAGGGCTGTCTCCAATCGCAGAGTTCCACTAATTCACCACGCCTCAGGAAAGTTGCCGCTGCTGCTAAACCGGTGTGCTGCTGGAATTTGAAAGCACGATGTCACACCAGGACGGATCCATCACTATAGGACGATATCTATGGACAAGGCTGCGCCAATTGGGTATCGACTCCGTGCATGGTGTACCGGGAGACTACAACTTGAATTTGCTTGACTCGATATCTTCCGAGGGGCTTAGATGGGTTGGAAGCTGTAACGAATTAAACGCAGGTCAGCCAACAAGTGTATTCGAATCGAGAACAACTTGGTGACAGAATCACAGGATACGCCACTGACGGGTATGCAAGGGTCAAGGGCATTGGTGCTATGGTGACCACCGGCGGAGTGGGAGAGCTTTCGGCAATCAATGCCCACGCAGGCGCGTATTCGGAGCAGACGGCCGTGATACATATCGTCGGCAGTCCTGCTCTTTCAATCAGAGGTAATAAGCAGTTCCAAATGCACCATACGTTGGGAGACAATGACTATGACGTGTTTAAGAATATCTTCAAACCCGTCTCTGCGGAGCAAGTCACGCTCATGGATGCCTCACGCGCTCCAGGAGAGATTGATCATATTCTACAAACTTGCTGGGTGTCAAGTCGACCTGTTTACATCGACATTCCGGCAGATATGGCAAACAAGGTTGTCGACGGTTCCAGATTGTTGTCACCTCTATCCCTAAGCTTTCCTTCGAGCGACACTCAGCAACAGGACGAAGCGCTAGCTGCTCTTCTCAGCAAATTGATTGCCGCGCAAAACCCATGCATTCTCGTGGACATGGGCGCAGCCCGCCAGAGGGTAAGCCATGTGCCAACTCTGATTATCGTATATTCAATTGACATCGGGGATAGATCGATCGTGCTGTGCATGAACTGGTTTCGAACTCACGTCTGCCAACCTTTGTCACACCACTTGCCCAGGGTTTCATCAACGAGAGCCTGCCAAGCTTTGGAGGCCTGTATGCTGGGAGCGGCTCACATCCAGGGGTCCAAGAGTATGTGGAGCGATCTGATTTTGTGCTTCACATTGGGCCACTGGACACGGATGTCACGACGTATCTCGGCTCGGCAAGTATCAGGCGGACAGCCGTCGTAAAGCTCTTCACCGACGAGGTCCAAATCGATGACAAGGTCTACTCATCGGTGTACCTACATTCTTTTGTCCCGACCTTGCTCAAGAGAGCCGACTTTTCGAGGACTTCGATCAAGCCTTTTGTCGCTCCGACAGTAAATGGGACGATTGCGACGAAAGACAATGACCCTATCACGCACGCATGGCTATGGCCCTATATCGGCAGTTGGCTACGACCTGGCGACATCGTATCAACAGATACCGGCACAGCCAGCTTTGGCATATTCGACACCAAACTGCCACCTGACAGCATGTTGATCAATATCTCTCTGTGGGCCAGTATTGGCTACTCTCTGCCGAGTGCTCAGGGTGCCGCTCTCGCAGCTCAAGATGCAAAGACCAGGAGACGCACCATCTTGTTCCAAGGAGACGGTAGCTTCCAGCTGACATGTCAGGAGATAAGTACCATGATCAAGCACCGCCTGCAGGTTTTCATGTAAGTCAGCTGGTGACATCTGACTCTAAGCGTCATGAGACTAACAAAAACATATAGCTTCATCATTTGCAACAACGGGTACACCATCGAGAGAGCAGTACACGAAACCACAGAGAACTACAATGATATACTGAACTGGAATTACAAGGAGCTCCTGAGGGTGTTTGATAGAGAGTCGAAACACTCTCGTGCCTTTGAGGTTCATACCCAAGGAGAGTTCAAGGATTTGCTTGCAGACGAGAAGTTTTCACCTTACGGAGGTGTGCAGGTAAGTGTCGAGCCATCACTGTGTTGTAGGACATCCTCTGACGTCGGTGTAGCTGGTAGAGGTGTATATGCCTGAGCTTGACATCCCGCAACCTTTGAAGAAGCTGGCAGAAGTCATCACGGCCCGTCAGAGAGCTGCAGCAGGTCGATAGATAGCTTGCAGACCAACACTTGACTCCGACACGGATGACATTTGAGAAAATTTGAATTGATATTTACATACAGGCATTCATAGAACTAATCTAGTGATGCATTGGGCTGGGGCTGGGTTGTTTACGCATACCAGCATTTCTCTGTTTACTTGGTCAGAACAGCCTCGTTGCCAGCATCTCTCTCACGTTCGAACTGTGTATCCACCGGGTGCTGTCACTTTGGATTTCTGCGAAACGCCTTCGGGTTGAAGGGCGGCTATACATGGCCAGGATAATGGGTAAATTCTACAGGCTGACAATGCTGCCAGTGTAACACCTATCTGATGCGAAAAGCAATGCTGCTTTACAATCTCTGGTTATTGCGGAGACAGTTGTTGAGGAACTAGTTCCACCAAGTAGCCGTTCTGTACGGTATGTCAACATTTTGCTTGTGGCAACACGAAAGGATAGAACCCTAGACTCACCGGATCTTCCACAAAAGCTACCTGGTTGATAATGTTGAGAAATCCGGCTGATAATTCATCCGTCGCAACTCCCTGCTCTCTCTCCCACGTCGTGGTGGGAATCCCCTCGACAGGACCTTGCCCGTAGTCCTTCACAATTCTGACCCCAGCACTCCTGAGACGCTGCACAGTTTCCGGTACGCTTGGGACCGTAAATCCCAAATGATTGAAGCCCAGGTGCGGGGGGTTAGTTCCATTGGAAATATAACCTTTTGGCTGATTCTCCGATCCATGATAGTGACACAACTCTAGCAGGCCCAAAGTCTGCGTCAACACTGAGTGCTTTGCAACATCTCGGGCAAAGGCGGATAGATCGGCGCGATGTTCGGGGGTCTGGGGGTACCCGAGATAATACACGGTGAACGGACCGGTATTGATGGCGAAGACCGTCCTCATGCCCATCAGATCGACGTAGAATTTCATCGTGGCTTCGGGATCCTGGATGCGGATCATCATGTGGTTGAAGCGGTATCCAAGTGTGGGAGCAGAATCCAGCAAAGGGGGCTCTTTGCGCGCGCCGCCAGGAGTATGAACGCCCACAGGGAGCCCATAGGCTTGAGCATGTTGCGAAGAGTTTGCGCTAGACATTTTCTAGTAATCGTCCACACAATGATTCCTGGTGTTCTTCGACACGTTTGAGGCTTGCACGTAGGTTTTGTTCGTGCTGTGGCAAAGGGGCCGGGACGTTTTCCGGGGTAGACCAACCCAGCTTTCGGGAAGCCGCCGAATGGGTCCTCCACATCTGATAGGCTAGCACGGAGGCAGTGTTACCTACCTAATTAACTGGCCAGTAAACTAGAGGAGTCTCTGGTGTAGTAATCATTATGCAGAATACTTGGTACTGATCTCAATTCCTTGTTCACAAGAGCTCACTGCATATTGTTGCTGCAGAACTTTCAGATAGTCAGGGACAGTGTTTTCATGAAAATCGCTTTGGCCGGATTCTGAGATTTTTTCATTCAGACTTGGATGCATGTCCTCCGGTCCACAAGGCGTATATCCTTACTCATGGGTGCACTACATACTCAATCTGATTTGATCCCGAGCAAACCCAAGGCCTTCCGACAATTCTCTATACTTTCTACTTCCAGTTGCTCGTACAATGCAGTCGAGTCAAGCACCTTGGTGGGAAGAGCTTGCTCGAGGAGTTGTCTGTTCCCTTGAGCCTCCTTCCTCTTGGTATTGGAGAATCCCTTGAGGTTGGATGTGAAGATGCCGGCTGCTGAAATTGGTAAGAAGTCTTCATAAGTGATCGCTTCGTATTTGATGAGGCCACGGTCCAGCAGTTCGGAGAGCCTAAACACTTTACCTCCTGCCTGCAACGTGTCGTTCGGATTCGCCACAGGAACGTTTTAGGGTTTAGGGTTTAGGGTTTAGGGTTTAGGGTTTAGGGTTTAGGGTTTAGGGTTTAGGGTTTAGGGTTTAGGGTTTAGGGTTTAGGGTTTA